TACACAGAAGAGGAATTCCTGTATTATAGATGCTGACAGCCCCAAATTCCAATAGTTATATACAAGCCCCTGTATTCCTCAGGCTGGTCCTAACTCTGCTCCAGCATAAACACCTGGAACACCACAGGAGATGACTTTTTAATGTTCTGGAGAGAACCTCCCCTGGTAAAATCCCAACATGCAGGGATGAGTTATCCCCAACAGCAAGTTCCACCACACAGGCAGATGTTCAGCCCATGTGGGTTCATCTGATCCAAAACCAGTTTGGGGTGTTTTCACCACTTTTAGGAAGCCAAGAGCAGCCCAGCTCTCAGGAGAAATGCACTTTAAAGACCAGATCCATCTCAGCCAATTAACAGCCCAATTAGAATAAATATGAGACAGGACAGAGCTTCACCACTTCTGTGGTGGTCCAAAATTTCCACCCCAAATTCTGGGGAACAGTGAGGAAGAGGCAGGAATCAGTCAAACTGAAGCTAGAGAGCTTTAACCCAGTCATGCCACATTAAGCTCAAGCAGTGAAAATTTTATGTTCCAGGGAGACCATCTCCAGTACAAATCCTACTTGTTGCTCTTCCAGTGGCACAAACAACTGAAGACATTCCACGATGGGCAGCAAGGTTTGCAGTGTCTGACCTCACACTGCAGCACTTCAAGCTCAGCTGAGATCCAGCCCCTCCTTTCCACAGCTCTCTACAAGCCCAACCTTCCCCCCCAGGGTTATTCCTGACACAGTCAGGGAAGCTGCAAACTGAGACACTGCACAGCCTGGAATCCCTGTGGGAAGCCAAGTGGAAGCGTTTGGGGAAATGCAACATTCCCGAGTTTAACGCCAGTCCTGGTGATCACTGCACTCTCCTCTGCTTTCAAAGGGCACCCACGTTCAAGCAGAACCAGCTCTAAAATATTGATTTAGAGCAGATGTAGTTTAAAGAGAGTTTACAAGGGAAGTATTTTTTTTGATCCTTTTTTTTTTTTTTTTACCCTCTGCAGGGAGAATGTGAAAACAAAAAGCAACATTGAGTCATAAAAAAATAATTGTTGTAGTCCTCAGCAATTTTTTAATTCCCCTTCCTTCACTAAACATCTGGGGTTTGTTAGAAAACACTATGAAATGATTTTCCAAAACCTTTGACATGCATTCTGCTCAATAGGTCCCAAAAGCTCAGGAAGGAGAGATTCAAACCAAGTAAGGGCTGTTATTTACGAAGCCTTCCTGGGTAAATTGGTCCAATCCTTCTGTCTGACCATTCCCTGCTATTGAAGGGCACAGGAACAGGGAGTGAGCACGTTGAGGTGATGTTCATTTAACAAAGAAAAGGACAATACACCCAGGAAACTACGATTCAAGCAGGTTCACTGTGATGAGCCAAGAAAAAGCTGCTCCCGCACAGCCCAGGACTCTGGAGATACCTGTGCCATTAGAGTTACTTCAGAACAAATTAGTGCTCCATGAACTGATTAGACCATAAATAAGCCCAGCAGGAAGGAGGGAAGGCACTGACAGCTGAGCTCTGCAGCTCTCACTCACAACCACCACCAAAAAGCTGTCAGTGCCAAAAGGATCTCTGATCCTTTTACAGCCCACTCAAAGGATGTCAAAGCAGATGCAGTATCTGATCACAAGAATCCGATACTTTCATTTTCTCTCGTCACTCAAGGCACAAATTGCAGCTCTGTCCCCAACCTAATAATTATTTGGTATGGCTGCATTTTGTTCTCTTCCAGCAGCAGCAGGAAACTTGATTGGAGCTGCAGGAACCCAGGCAGTGACTGCACAAGCTGCTGTTGTGATAGCACAAAGCAGAAGCCAACTCGGCGGGTAACTGGACTTGAAGTTGGAAAGATCTTCCCCAGGCAGCTTGAAATAGCAATTTCAGAGGGGGGAAAATAGGTTGACTTTATCCACCACAGGTTACCAAAGGAATACTTTGATCCTAAGACAGACAGACATAATAAATACCAAGACACACCACCATAAAAAGGTATTAAAGGTGGGGGTTTTTTTGTAGTCTGCAGCAATTCAAAAGGCATTTGCAGCCTTCTATGGGGTGATTATTAAGAATGGAATCACTCAGGTACCAAAGCACAATATTCCTTGTTAGACAGGAGTACTTCCAGTGCTTGATAGTTACATTCCCCTGCCCACTGACTTAATACTTTGGAAGGTCTCAAATCCCACACACACTGTTGCTAGTCATGCTTCCAGAGCAATCCCAGGGAATTCTGCATTCAACAATTCATGCTTCCTAATGCCATACTTCAAGTAATTCAAATGCACACAAAGCTCCTTCTTCATTTCTCTAAACTCTACACCCATGGAAGTAACTCCAAAGCATCAGAAACCAACAAGGAAATCTAAATGCACACAGACCTGAAGTCATGGGGGATTACATGATCAGAGTGTCCAGTAAAATCAGTAACCTCAGTGTTAGAGGCACTGACCCTGTGACATGATGATTTTGAAACAAACTCTCCAGTTCAGCAAAGGAGGTTATTAAAATCTTAAAATTCATACCCAGTTAACGAAGACTCACAGTCCCTCACTCCCCACCCCTGACAAGTACACAAAGAAACTCGAGACAGCATAAGAGTTTTAAGCTTCCTTTCTTACAGCAAACCCAACTTTGACAATGCTGGAAAAAGTCTGTCTTAAACAGTCAAGGGATGCCAGAAAATTTCCTGACTGCTGCCTAAGCACAGAGTTAATAAAATAGGTTTTAAAGCAAAGTGAATAATGGAGAGGTGCATCTATATTTTAACATTACTCTGAAAAAACTTGAGACTTATTACGCCATGCAGTGCTTTCCCCCCAAACACAGCCACAAACCCAAACAATTCTAAGTTTTCTCCAGCACCTCAGAAGGCAGAATGGCAAAAAAAACCCCAAACAAACAAACAAACAAAAAAAAAAACCAAACAAGCTCTCACTGGAAGAAACAAAAGGCCCTGATTCACATGCAATTAGCTCAGCTAAATTTACTACCCAAGCCATTGCTACCCCAGCTGTCCTTGACACCTGCACAGGGGGGACAATGGGACACGACAAGCAGCCTCCTGCCATCTACTGCAGTTTTCAGGCTTAGAATTGGTGACAAATACAGCTCCTGAGCTGCTGCATTAACACAATTAGCACAAAACCAGCCCTGCACCTTATTCCAGTATCCACATCAGAGGCAGAACCAATGGAGAGAGCCAGTGCCTCCCCCACTTCTACTAAATCCACCACTTCAGAAGCACCAGTGCTCTAAACAAAACAGGAGCCTTTTCACTCCAGATTCAGTTTGCAGTGACAGCCAAGCAGAGCAAAATAGGAAACTGGTACCTGAAGAGTTAGGAGGAAGGATATTAAGGGAGAAAACTCATTAATATCCTGTGCAGCACGAGTTCCCACTATTTTACCTTCCTTAAATACGAGTTAGACTGAAAGACAGAGAGCAGAACTAAACTTTGGAGATCAAGTTGCTATTTTTTTATAAGAAGCAAGCAGCTCACTCTTTATCAGCCTGTGTTTCTGCAATCATTGGCACAAGCTGTGTGCAGAAACCATTCCCAGTAAAATGATTTAGGCTCTGGTGCCTAAGATGTGAGAAAAGCCTATGACAGCATCTTAAAAAAAAAAAAAAAAAAAAAAAAAAAAAAAAAAAAAAAAAAAAAAAAAAAAAAAAAAAAAAAAAAAAAAAAAAAAAAGATCCTCTCCATGCATGGAAAGAGCTCTCACTGAGATCCTCTGCATCCCTGTTCTGGCACACACCCCCCCACCAGCCTTGCCCCAGACAGCAGGATAAACACACAAAAGCCCTTTTATAAGGGTTCAGAGAAAGTGCAGAAGAATCCATTCAGCCTGACATATCTACCTGAATCCAAACCCTGGGAGGACGGGCTTTCACGTCCCAGCCCCTGCGCTATCTTTATAAGGGCACTAATTTGCACAGCACACATATTTTATCTGCACTGCAATAACACCACAGATGAACATTAACCAGATTCCTTGTGCTGTCTGCCAGGTGTTTAAATATTTTGCAACTCAAATGCTGAAATACTATCTGGAGTCTGAATGCCTCAGATTACCCAGTGAGAACATGGGTATATTTCCAGCCACTCAGTAAAACACTTTTTTTTCCCCCCCATTTGTTACATTTTAAGCAGCAGACTGGAATTACCAACACATAAATAAACATTATACTACAGGTCTATTTTGAAGGTTGAGTTTATTAACTCACAAAAGCTTTCACTGAAAAAATATTCACAGAAACTTTTAATCCAAAAGACTCCCCATTTATCTGCACTAGGCAGGCCCTACACAAAGGATTCTGCAAAGAAAACAAGCTCTGATATGGTGTATTTTGATAAGTTTAGGTGTGTACTGTGCATTAGAAAACATAATCCCACACTATGTATTAAACATGCTTCTCTTGGTCCAAGTTAGACAACCCATTTCTGAGCAGTGTGAAGATCCATAACTTTTTGAAGCTTGAAATATATTCCAATACCAGAACTCTGACCTGGACAGCACTATACATTAATGTATTACTATGTTAATATATTTACTGCTTTTCTTCTTTCACCCACACTAAACTTCAAGTAAAAAATTCCACAGTATCGTTATTAGCAACAAAAATGAAAGGCCCAAAGGGATCATGACATCTTCTATGGCATGTCAGTTATCTTCCTGAGGAGGAAAGAGAGATCACTCCAGCAAGAAAGAAATTAAAATACTTTTTTTGTTTTGATCACAAAAGCAGAGACAGCTTTCTGAACAGGGGCAGGAAGGTCAGATTATCTCACACCTGAGTTTACAGACTATTTTAAACCGGTAACTGGATTAAAATTAAAGCCATACACCCTCAGAAAGAAAATCCACTGCCGCCTCTTCATTAAAAGAGATGTATCCTACTACCACAGAACCAACTGGCAGCAAGGCAAATCAGCAGCAACACACGAGGAATTCTCCACTCAGGATCATCAGAAAAACCAGGATTTGTCCCCCTGTGCCATACCTTTGATGCTTGAGGAGTAGAGATGACATGGACAGTGCTGGGTTTAACTCCATTGGCCTTGGGTCGCTTGTAAAGGGCAAATCTGCTTTTCCTGCGTCCTCTGTCACCATTAGGGAGGGATCCATTGTACCTGCAGATAAACCACAACAGCTGAGCATAAACCACTACCAGCTTGGAACACAGAAAAGGAGAGAGGGGCAACTCTGGTATCATCAAATGCACGGGTAAAACAAAATGAATCACAGCCCTGCTAAGGTTTGTTTCCCGAATGAGGAGCTTTCGAACGTTTTTTACCTACCAGTGGTTGAAATTTTGTTCTCATTAAAAAGGTAATTAACTACAAATGAACTACCGAGCTGTTCAGCTACAGAAATACTTCTTTGCCTCTACAATCAAAGGAATTTGGGATAACACCCTACACATCTTCACAAATTCAGAATAAGGGAAGTTTTACGATGTTTTTACCCTCTTCAGACATCTCATACAGGAATAGGGGCAAATCTGGAAAAATAAAGTAATTTAAGGGCAAGTAAAACTGTGTGAAAAGGAATTTTACTCACACACAGAAAAAGCTTTTCTAGTTGTTTCCCCCTCCCCTTTTTTTTTAACTCTAATCCTAAAGGCTTCATCTATTATTAAGGAAAGAGGATGCAAGTGTTTTTAATTTATGTGACTATCTGAAGCCTCACTAATGACTTCCTTTATCAGGTGTAACACAGTAGCCCTTCCACAGTTCTTTCATCTCTCCCTGAGGACAGAGACCCAGAGGATTAATTATTCAGAGAAGTCTTAAGCCTCAAGGGGACACAGCTCCTTCCCCAGGGAAGAGATCAACTGGAAACTTCTTTGCAATGCATAAGCACAGAGTTCACCTCCACCTCACCCCAGGATTTAGGTCAGGTTGATTCATCCCCCCACAGCACTGTCACCTGTGACATTCCTGCCAGCTCCCAGCCGGTCTGGGAACAGCTCTCAGGGTGGAATATGGAAAGGAAGAGCAAAAGGCAGCAAGGCAGAAACACGGAATCTTTTACTTTCTCATCACAACATCCTGAATATGTAACTAAGTGGTTTGTTTAACAACAGAACGCACTCGGGGAGTTTCTATCCTTCTAAAAACAAGCGGGAAACGGGGGAGTGGATGAAAGCAAGGGGTGTCACTGCTGAGGCTCTGGAGAAGGCTCAGTGCTCACCCCAGGCAAGGATCACCTGCTGGCACACCGGGAAACAACTCCCAACTTCACACGCCAGGGATCCCAAACGCAGGACTGCTGAGTGCTCGAGCACAGGCAAGAACAGAGGCAAGATCAGAAAATAATCACAAATCTCAGTAGCGCAGAACATAAAACCCAGACCTTTTCAAAACATACGTTTATTTCATGATGCTAAAGCCACACAAGGTTTAGAGACTTTCAGCTGGGCTGAAACTGAACTCCTCATTCCCACTTTCATAGGGAGACTATGGAATCTTTGTGGAATATTAAGGGGGATTCCCTGACACAGCAGCAAAACAACAGGAGTAAAATCACTGTTATTTCACGTCAGGCCTACTTGTGCCTTGGTAACTTGTCATTAACCCTCCACCACATGAGAGTGGCACAGCAGATCCTCATCACAAGAGCCCAACCCCTACAAAGATACATCGATATGATCCACAGGCAGCTTAAATACCAGCACTTAAAATAGGAGTTATTTGATTCTCCAACTTCAATCTCCCTGAATATACACACATGTTTTCTTTCAAAGGCACTGTATTACCAGGAATATGCCAGCAAGTTTTAACTTGCCTGAAGACAACATTCCTTCTACAAGTATTTTTATCTGAAAACCTAAGAAAGCAATAATTCCCTCGGAAATAATGTGTAATGACTATGTATTACCACTGCTAGCTTTACATTCTGTAATTATTGGGGGTTTTTTTGATATTTGTGTGACTGTTAAGTGATACTGAATTCAAGTAGTTCCAGTTAAAACCAGGCAAGCAGGGTTTTATTCTCACGTTCACAAAACAACTTCAACTAGGAAAGGCTACTCCATTTCATTTCAGTCTCTGTGGGATTTCGTTACTTTTTAAAAGAGAGAAAGAAAGAAGCTGCTCAAGGTTAAAAGACCTTCTGGAAACCTTAAATAGGAAAGAAATCCAAGCAAAGCGAAAGCTGAATTCATTCATCCTGATTAGCACCGACAAATTTTCAGGAGGGTTCTCTCCTCCTGCCAATTTCTAAATTTCCTTTCCACAAAAGGGCAAGAGGAACTGAGTGGTGGTTTTATGATTTGTTATGCTTTAATTATAGGCCTGCAGGTTTTATTTTGATCTGACAGTGGCAGAAAGAGCAGGGACAATTAGTAGGCACACATGTTTTAGAGGAGGGGGGGGGAAAAAAAAAAAAAAAAAAGGTGTTAGAGGACTTGCCTCTTTCCACAGCTGGCACATTCCTGCATTTTTTCCTAGGCCAGGACTCTCAGCTTGTTCTCCACAAACCAACCTTCCCCCATGGCACTGGGGCCACACCTTTGCTTCCCACTTCTTAAACAACCTGCATGCCCAGTGATCTGGCAGTAACGCCACGGGATCTTCCCAGCCAGGGCAGGACCTGCCCCGCTCCTGAGGCACAGCCCCATCGTCTTGGCCCATCCCTGCTTTTCCAAAAGGAGCTGTCCCACTGGATCCAACAGGAATACAAGCATGGCTACCCACACCTTTGCTGAGTCAGCTTTCCTGAGCACAGGCATAAGGAACCACAACCAAAGCAGCCTCCAGCCCTCTCCTCTCCTTCAGCCCCCTCAGCTCTTCTACTGAGCAGCAACAACTGCCTCCTTGGGAGCACCAACAGGAGGGAATTGCTCAGGAAGAAAAGGGACATGGACTGAGGCCACAGATTCCCCAGACACTGAGAGACTCCAACCTTCCCCACAGCCAACAGGAGCTTCCTCTCACAGCTCCTCTCAACAAGCATGAGCCCCTTTCCCTTCTCCCTGCACCCTTCCAATAACTCCAGAAGCACAGGAGCACACCAACTTTTTGCTTCACAAGAAGGGCAGCACTGCCTCTTGTTCCAGAAAATCTGCAGATGGAACTCTCCTCTGGCCCACCAAAAAGCCCAGGACAAATGTTGCCTCCAGCTAATAAAACAGACCAGGAAAAAAAAATCAAATGTCACAGAGACAGAACAACATTTCCTGAGATCATCCCGCTCTCACACAGGTGCTGCTGAAGTTCTCCAGAAGTTCATCTGACCAACACACATGTGGAAGGAACAGTCCTATACCTCTTCCAAAACACCTCTCAGTGACAGCAATTCCAGGACAACCTACGCTGTGAAACCTCCTGGGATAATCATCCCAGTTGACAGGACTATTCCTTGCAAATAAGGGAGTGGTGCTGGCAGAGGCCACGGGCACCCTCATTACCAAAGCCAGTTTCCTACAGATTCACATCAAACACTTGAGGACTTCGGTACATAATGAACTGCAAACTCCAATTAAGCTTTTCCCATGGCTGGGATATGTAAGGAAAGCCTCTCCTCCACATGGATTCGTGGCTGTCTGGAGAGCAAGACCACACATGTTCTCTCCCACGGTCCACTGTGGCAAGTTCCTATTTTCCACAAGTCTTGTACTACTTGTACTACTACTGGAATTACTTGACTGCTTCAGAGATCAAGCTTTGAACTGTTTGTCAGATGGCTTGTTACACAAGCTTTTTTGGTTTATGTTTATTTTGGTTTTGGTTTTTTTAAAAGGAATCTGGCCTAGACAGTGATAAAGAGTAAACCAGACCTCTGTTACTCGGGACAAGAGCTCTAAATCTTGACCCTTCACCTTGAAAAGTTCAACTTCAACTTAGGGAAGTTACCCTAAAAATTAAGGTGAATATCTACTACCTGACATAGAAAGTGCTGCATGGAGCTAATCTTTTTCAAAAAAATCACAAAACTATCATAAAACTAAAATATTTTCCATACTATGCAACCTGCCTCCTAGAAAACCACAAGCTGAACAGCTCCTAATTTTCACAGGTAATGCAGCCCCTGGACAAAAAGGATTAATTGCACTTTGCTTTCCTTACCCACCACTAGCAGATCTACTGCACACCTTCACATTTTTAGATGAAAACCATCCCATTTCAGACTTCACCGTGAGGAGGTGACGTGCCACAGTCCAGTTGTTACCACGGCTCCGATGAGTCAAACAGCACATCTTTGCTTACTAAACAATAAAACTGCAGAAGTGAATTCAGACTTGAGGGAATTTTCCCTTTTAAGTACATTCTGATCCCATATTTGGTATAATGCTGTAGTACACGCTCCACACACGCCAGAATGCAGTTTGTGCTTACAGTGTGTTTTTACCACCACCCCTGACCCAGCCTGGTCCAACCCCACTGCCCAAAGCAGCAGCTTCACCTTTCATCTCTTAATTTGTTCCTGCTGCTTCTCTCACTGGTTCACCTGAAGGGCAAGCAAAACTAGATTTGTGTTTTAAACTTAGTTTTAAGCCATATAAAGCCACAGAACCACTTCTATCAGCAACATGGGAAAACAGCACAGAGGGCAGGAGAGATTCCCTTGGAAGAACTGAGAGCCTCCAGCCCTCGTGGCATCTACAACATTAGAAGGCTAAAGACACGTTAATCACCTTTGCAATCCCCAGCTCCAGAGCTTCCCAAGGCTGTACACTCAAGTCCTGACTAACTGGAAAACCCTTTTCTGCTGAAACATCCAGCCCTTCCTTCTCTGGACACACATTAAAAGGGAAAAAAGCCACACGTTCATAGTTTACAGCAAAACACAGAAAGCTTCCCACATATGCAACACTGACAACAAAATAAGTGACCTTGTGTTTCCTCCTGTGCAGTATCACTGCCAGTACTTCATGCTCTTCACACACACCCTCTCTCCCCTTGTATCACACTGAACAATTCATTTTGTATCCAGAACCAATGGGACTATTTCAGCAAAATAACTTGAATGGTTATGGATTTTCTTACTCTTTTAGAAAAAAAAACAAGAATTATTTCAAACACATTTTTCTGCACCAGAGCTTCAGAAAACAAGCAGTTGCTGCCTGCCAGTTATCTGAGAATTCCAGTGAAACAGAACAGTGCAGTTATTCTCAAACTTAATCTCA